TTAGGATGAATAGAGGGTGTGTGTAATTTTTGGGGTCACACAAATGCCACAAACATGGTTTTCTAGAAGTGTGGTTTCATTATATGATAATGCCATGGTGACATGAAATCCCTCCGCTATATATATATGTGTGTGTGTGTGTGTGTGTGTATGTATGTGTGTGTCTGTGTGTGTGTGTGTGTGTGTGTGTGTGTGACCATGATGAATCATAATCCAATGAACCTTGATTTTATGTAGTGAATATCTTTCCAAGTGTTTTGGAGGGTTTTACACCATCCATGCAATGAAATTTTTTATCACCATGCATTAGCATGATGGGATTAATTTAAGTGTAGAAAAAGTTTGTTTGTTCCATGCTTTTAAATCTTGATCTCTTCTTTATATAGAAGTATTGGTATGTTGTCTTAGCACCTAACAGTTTACATTTTATTTTTCGCAATTGCACCCTTAGGACTACCTAAACTTGTGTTCATCATTGTCTTTGCATCCTAATGACTACCCAAACTTGTTGGTTGATAACCATTTCAACATAGACATAATCCAAATTTGTTGTTTGATATCCATTTCAATATAAACATTCAGCTCTACTACCCATTTTTATATCAATGCATTACTTTTATTTCTGCAGATTGTGTATATTGGTTATAATCATAAAATGAGGATCTTGTTAGATACAATTATAACAAAGGTTGTTGATTTCAAGGTGAAACGGGACAGATTTTCTGTAATAACGGTGAGTTGCTTAAACCATTTAAAATTCCTCATCAGGAAAGCATATGCAAGTTTCTGTGACTATGGCGGTTTGGCCTTCCATTAGTTGAATCTTATTGACATCATTACATTCTGCTTATTTTTTGTCCGATATGAACTTATTAATGAGGTTGTTATTTTTTCATACTTGCATAATCGTCCTAGGCTATTCTTAAGTTGGAATAGTCTAACAATTCCAGCCGAGATGGAAAAGGATATGTTCACCAGTCCTGCTGCTTTCCCTCTTGCTTACCATTAGTTTGTCTAGTGTCTTTTGGTTGGGGTTGGAAGGTAATTTGTGATCACTGGGGAGATGTTCTCCTTAGAGTTTTAAGAGTGGAGGGCACTTGTGGAGTCCCATCTAGGATGGGTTTGTGAAGGGAAGGTACTGCCAAGTGCCTGTGCTGCATGGGCTGGAACATGGTTTTGTTTCATGGGCTGCTGCCTGCTGCCCTTTCCCTGCCAGGACACAAGACAACAGTAATGATGATACTGCCATTTCTTCTATGCACCTTGCCCACCATCTTCTTTGTGACTGCATGGAACGAGAATACATCAATAGGCTTTTCGGTTATCTCGATATATTGGGCTGCATGGTTTGGAAATGTCAAAATTAATTTTCCAAGTCTTGAATCTGTTACCCTAAAAGAATATGGTACCACACTTGGAATTAGTCGGGGACTCAAGATTCACCAAACCTGGTGGAGCAGGAGATCTGAAGCTAGTTTTCTAATGAGTGATCTTGTAAAGAAATGTGGGGATTATGTGTTCTGGATAGACCATTTAGAGATTGGGTGTGGAGAACTTATTTTTGAACTTAGACTATGATCCTACACTACAGAACTTAAAAATTCCCTGTTCAGGAAAATAACACATTTGCCAAATGGATTTGTAGCTTGACCTGTGCAGGTAACACTGGTATGTGTTTTGGTCTTCGTGTTTTTTTCTTCCCATTTATTATTTTGATTTGTGGTGTTTCTTCCACAATTACTGATTTTCATACCTAGCTTCGGCTGTCTAAGGGTTCTGAGCTATCAAAGTGGAGTGAAATCCTTCAGGTCTAACTTCAGTTATCTTGAGTTTGTTGGCTTCTGGCTTAAGAGGAAATCATAGCTCTGCCATATCAGAATATGCTTATAGACAAGTATATAAGTCCAGTATAAAATTTACTTGGTAAATTTCCTGCTCTCTTCAAGTATTTCTTGATCCATGACTTGTGTCCTCAAATATAAAGTGGCTTTTTGAAAGCCAAATTCTATATCTGTTGCCTGAAATGTACCTGTATGAGTTATATGGTTCTTGAAAATGGCCATTGATGCCAACCTGTAACATCAAATAGTAATTCTGAATCTGCATTTGGAATTCACTGACAAGAATTGTCCCTCATGCATTGTTAAAATTTATCTTCTTCAGGAGACCGTAATAAAGGAGTATCAAAATTTCAAATTTAAGCAACCTTATCAACAGGCAAATTATTACTGCTCATTGATATTAGAGGATCAGTCCTGGCCTTGGAATGAGGCTCTTGAGGCACTTTCACATCTTGAGGCAGATTCTCTTGCCAAATTTATTCCATGCATACTTTCAAGGGTATTCTTTGAGTGTTACACAACAGGTTTGACCATAACTTGATCTTCTCTGGAATCATACCATTTTTGTATTACACATCATCTTATCATTTGTATAACCTTGTGAACCATTGCAGGAAATATTTCATCAAATGAAGCTGACTCTTTGGTGCAGCATATTGAAGATGTTATGTTTGGTGGTACCCAGCCTATCTGCAAGCCTCTTTACCCTTCTCAGCACTTGACAAACAGAATTCTCAAACTGGAATCAGGTGTAAATTATTTCTACCCTGTTCAGGGCCCAAACCAGCAGGATGACAATTCGGCGCTGCTTTACTACATTCAGGTACTCGTTTACCATTTTATATCAAGAATGTCATGGCCTTATCATTAGCAGATACTATGACATTAGTATTCTCCATATCATCTGAGTTCCTTTATGCTTGACTTTACTTGGCACTCTGTGAATCTTATTTATATAGTAGCTGTCTTCTGCAATATGTAGCTATGATAGATACCTGCTTAGCAAGAAGTGTTTGTCTCTCTGGATGGATATTGATAGCAAAACTAACCTATGGATTGAATGGTGTTGCTGCATTGATCTGGTATGACAACTATAGCATGAGCTATTTCAGGACTGCACAAACCAATACAGTTAAGCTAATGTTGGAAACCTAGAACGCACGAAACAATTTATTAGTAATCACGCACACTTCTTTTGCATTTTATGCGTCTCTTTTCTGGTTATACGGTTCATAAGGAAAAGTTTCCTGTGATCCCCATGGTCAGTATAACAGCATGGCCATGAGGGTTATGCCATCCAAACAATATTGAATGGTGATGGAGGGAGAGTGAAATGTACAATTTAATCGATAATATGCTTGGTGACATCCCAACTATTGTTTAGAAGATGAAAGAAAAAATTGAAATATCTTGTGAAACCTAACTGCTGCTTATTGGAATTCCTCAAGGTTGGTCAAGATGATTTTAGGTTGAACGTGAAACTCCAGCTTTTTGTTCTCATTGCAAAGCAGCCTACTTTTCATCAGCTTCGATCTGTAGAGCAACTTGGATACATCACATTTTTAACAAAAAGGTTTGAGCATGTTTCATTTACCCAACTCCTTTGTAGGTTTAATCAAATCCCTTTCCAGCTGAATAGCATCAATATACAGGAATGATTCGGGAATACAAGGAGTGCAGTTTATTGTTCAATCTACAGTGAAGGTAATTGAGGGGTACTTTCTCTTTTTGCTAAAGTATCTGCGGACTATCGTCCCATTAAAAGACTCAAATATGTTTATGACAGGACCCGGCCCAGCTTGACGAGAGAGTACAGGCGTTTCTCAATATGTTTGAGAGTAAGCTTCATACAATGTCAGATGATGAATTACATGTAAGTTCTTGTACTTAATGTGGCCTTCTCTTTTCATTTCATTATTTGCAGGGCATGAATCATATAAGCTCCACTCAAGGCCTACTTTAGCTCAAAATTTTTCGGTCATTATTGTATAAATTTGACTTGATTAGTCTGTTGGCCAATCTTGAGTGCTCCAAGTTTTGCATCTGGATTGAAGTTCTGTTACAATCAGAAAAGCTACTAAGGAGCTTCTCTTCTGTTTTATCATGGATGCATGTCAAAACATGGACATTGGATAGCAAAATCTGTTTTCGATGGAGTAATAAAGATTTATACTGCATTCCATGATGTTTGTAGCTGTTTATAGCGACAGACATTTGTGTAATTCTTCTAGATATGACGATATATTAATTAAAGATTATTATAAGGGGAAGCTCTTTAACAAACCATCGGCCTGTGGGAGCTGTCCATTTGGGGTCATCATTGTCCAATGAAGTGGATGGTGATTGAGATACAGGTAGGGACCTACATCTACCGTTACGGTCTGTCCTGTTCTGGTGTGTCCTCTGTTTCTCCATCGCTATCAACATATCATTTGAAGCTGAGAACCCCAAAGTTCTTATAGTGTTTGATAGATGATCGTGTAGTATAAAATTTATGAATATGCATATATAAATTCTGTTGCCCATGCACTTTGTTCCTAATACCCCCTTCAATTAGTTTTAGCTGGCCATGGCTGATTTTGGAGATATATTTTCAATTAGAGAGGTGGTTTCACGTGGAGATATCTGTTTGAAAGGAAAATTTATTCTAAGAAGTAAGATGATATACCATTCAATAAGTGAAACTCCTTCCTAATAAGTAAGGGATATCGATTGTCAAGTCTGTTTTGCCAGCATTGTCACACTCAGCTTTGAATGATAGCTGGATTTGCTAATATCTATGCCTTAAAGATTTCTGCCTTCAGACATCGAAACAATGCATTTCTCATAAAAAAAAGAAACAATGCTCTGCAGATTAGTCTTTATATATGTCTAGTAACATTGCATGGATTTTTGCAGTATCTGCAGAAATGACAATGTGGTGAGTAGTGACACCTGTCAAGTTCGTGGTTTAAAAAAGGTGCTAGTTATGTGGCAATAACTAGCTTTGAGTGTTTTAATCTAATTTACAATATTAACATCTATTTTGCACGAGAGACCAAAATATGTACAATTTAAATATGTGCAAAGGTGTGGTTTGCATGAGGTTGCAACCTTAACAATCAAGTAAGGTGCACCTCCAAACTGTCATGAGATGCAATTTTGGTGTTGAAGATTCTTAGGATGGTGTGAGAGTTTATTTTTATATCTAATTATAAATTTCAAACTCAAAAAATGATTCAAATCAAGCAGATCTATAAATGCACAAAAATCTTGAAAATGGCCGGTCCGGATAATGTGTTACAACATGTACTATTTTTAAGACTTGAAATCTCTTTTTATCTCTATATCTATACATCTTGCTGTTGAAATAATCAACTAAATGTTTTTCCAACATCAAAGCAACATTTTCTGAAGGATTTTAGAGGTGCACCTTAATTCTTACATTTTAAGGTGTCAACCTTATATAAACTTTTCCTTATATATATAT